TAATTAAATGAAATAAACATAGAATATTAACTAACACCCGGTATATTGAAGAATTTTGCAAACCAAAAATAATATCCTCAGAATACAAAGAAAAATAGCTAAAAGTAAAAGAAATCAATATAAACAGTACTTTATTCGCCTTGTATCCAAAATAGGGCTCGGAATTTTTAAAAATCTGATATTCGAATATTCGCTTAGTGGTTTATTCGAATAGTAACATTATTCGAATACGCGAATATCTAACGAATATTCGAATAATCGAGTATTTCTATTCGTATTCGTTAGATATTCGAGTGTTCGTTTTTCGTTCACCGTTTTCCAAGAAGAAAAATTGTTATCTCATATCATTTTTGGCAACTAGCCGCAACGGATAAAAAAGTGCCTTTGTCGGCACATTAATTGTAATCACCAGAACACAGAGACGTCATTTTACATTCATTTGCAGGAGAGTAAATATGATTATTTTCATTTGCTTGTAAATATATGGGTATTTGTTTAAATGCTTGTAGAACATGAATAATTTATTTTATAAAAGTATACAAAGCGCATATAAAGATATTTGCACCTTGTGAGTTTGATAATGTTGGTGTATTCGAGTATTCGAATATTCGGATATTCGAGTATTCGAGTATTCGAATATTCGGATATTCGAATATTCGACTATTCGAATATTCGAATACTCGAATTATTCGAGTTTGATTCCGAGCCCTACTCCAAATGTATGCCAAGGCTTAAAGCAGCAACGACGTAAACGACCATGTAAGTAAAAATATTTAAGTATCTGAACGAAGAACTCTAGTCTCTTCCCAAATTTGATTGTCCTGACTAATCACCTGTTAGGCCTAATTAATTTTAGAATGCTTTAAAGTATTGCAGTTGTGATGTGTTTTAATACGTGATATGATGAGGCTGTTGACGAACTGTGGTTGTTTTTTAAATTAATGAAATTTTTTTTAACTATCTGTTATTTTAGAAAAACTGATGATGGTGGAAAAATAAACCGAAACGTAAAATAATCAATAAATGACTGAAACCCATGAATTAATTTAGAATTGGAATTGAAACACCGTCACGAATGTATATATAAAAAAATGTTTCAAACAGAAATCATTTCATACCTGGTTGATGAGTCGTTGTTTGCAATGGCGCTTTTGATCGTTTCCAGACTAGTTCGCAGGTTTCTACATTTTTGGCACACGTCGTTCCAACTAGCCACCGTCAGGTGGGGCTGGTCCTTCGGAACCTTGACCAAACCTTGGAGTTCTTCGATTTTCACTTGAAACTCCTCCAAGTACACCATCACCTAGACGCAAAACATTGAAAAGCACTCAAGAGTTGTTCAAACGCCGAAAGAGACCAACCTGTTCTAGCTCAGGCTGTCGCAGAATGGCAAAACACTCCATGGTGAATCGTTCGAGCATGCACTCAAACTCCGACTCCAAGCTGTGGTTGATCTGGACCAGAGGATGGCTCTCCAAGCCCATCCAGCCCTTCTCGTTCTCCAGCCAGTTGGACAACGTGCTGGCGTCGACGTTGCATGCAAAGTCTTGCGAAATGTTGCACTTGCCGCTGAGAACGTTAATCCTGGCGTCGATCAGGGACTTGTGCGCTATGATGTCGGCAAATTCATGCAGCAAGTTGGAGGCCGTGCGGCTGCATCGTTCCGACTCGACGCGGCGTCTCCAGTTCTGCCGCTGCAGCTTGTTCAGGCTGTTTCTGTAAAGGTCCGTCAGCTCAGACACGCTTTGGTTGATCTCGTGGAACAAGCAGTCGCTCACGGAGTCGGACCACAGTTCGAGCGCAGCCCGCTCAGAAGCGAAGAAACTGAAGAAAAACGAATGGTCTGCATCCAGATGGGACTGATAAATCTGCGCGGCCCTTAGAAGCACATGGTTGATTTCCGACTGGATCAGTTCCTGGTTGACGATCTTCGTCGCCGTTCTGCTGAACTCCTGTGTGGTTTCTGGGCTGAGCGACCGAATCCGGCAGGACTGGTCGGTGGAGATGTTGTAGGCCTCATTGGCCAGCGCTTCGGCCAACTGTGGTAACTTTGTCGCCTTGTAAACGTCCAGTAGAACATCGAGCTTTTGCTGTTCTTCGCAGAGAATATGCAACGACGGCCCGTTATTCTGCACGAAGTTTTTGCACATTTTAAAGCCCTGGCCGACCGCCAACAAGCACTTGGCCAGCACTTTGCTCAAATACTCCGCACTGGTTCTGCATATCGGCGGCTGCTTCTGGCTCGTTCCATTCAACTTGTTCTGCAAAGCTATAATTAAATACGCAGTTTCCTTGGTTTCTTTGTCGATTAATCTCGTGCAAATGGCGTCGCCTGTTACGGGCGAATTTAAAGCTTCTTGTATCCTATCAACTAGCACATTCTCGTATGCGACTTTTTCAGCCAAGATCTGTAGTCTGGCTCTAGCATCTAACTTACCGCTTTCTAACAACAGTCTTTTCTTCTCAGCTAAACACGTTAGCTTTTCTAGGAGTATTTGCTGCAGCTGCTTGACCACAGCTTCAGCCGAGGCGTTGACGACGCTGGCCTCGGCCGAACTTAAACTATATCTCGAATCGCCGCTGCTTAGAATCGCATTTAGTTCGTTCAAGGTGGTTTCGAGAAAAACGAGTCGCTCTGAGCTCAGAGATGAGCGTTTGCTTTTGAGAACGCTCACCGAGTGAAGACATTCGAGTACTTTGGCTCTAGCCGACATCAACATGCCATCAAAGTTGTCGCTTTCTTCGGCTAGTTTCGTCAGATCCGAGACGCTGCTGCTGTGCATGTTCAGCGACTCTGTAGAGGCATTCACGTTGGATACTTTTGATTCTAGCGAACTCAGCCGCATGAGGAGTTTCATTGGCTCTGAAGAAGTGGCGCTGTCCAGGCTTTTGCGGCGAAGCCGCCTCAGCGACTTGTCGTCTATTGGGGACGTTCTTTCGCTGCTGCGCTCGCGCCTGAACCTCCTTTTCGGCCTTCCCTTTTCCAGCGTCAGTATCTTGGCCTCCAATTCAGTCACCTTGTCCTCCACCTCTTTGTTGATTGAAAAGTTCTCGCGGCCCTTCAGCGACAGCGAGCGCCTTTTGTCTTTTGCGTCGGTTTTTGCCTTGATCCGCAGTTGCTTTTCAACCGCCGTCAGCTTCGCAGTTAAATGGTCCAGCCTGACGACCAGCAGATTCACCTCCGCCTGGTGTTCCTGCTTGAGGATTTCTATGCTCTGTTTCAAGCTATGGTTGGCGATTTCTAATCTATCACAGTTATCGTCAGAGTGGCGCAGCGCTTTTTTAATCGCCCTGATTTCAATCACCGCTTTTTCAAAGCGGCATTTCAGGTCTAAACAGTATTCTTTCAGCTCGTTAGTGCCCAGCTCGTCTATGTCGACCTCCAAGTTGATGTTGGTCAGCTCAGTTAGCGAGTCCATGTGGATGCTGTTGGGCTTGACAGTTCTTGCGTCCAGCTCCTGCAGCTTTTTGTACACCCGGTCGTTTTCCTGCCGGCTGCGCTCCAGTCGCTCATTCGAGCTGTCCAGTTCCTCTTGCAGGTTGCATAGAATCTGCTGCTTCGCCTGCAACTCCCTCAGTAGGATCTCGTACTTTTGCTCGAAGGTGCGCGAGGACTCTTCAGACTCGGCGAGGCGCCGCTGCATGGCTTTTTGCTCCTTCAGGAACTGAAGTTCCATCTGCGAGTTTCTTTGGTTTAACTCCTGCTCGGCTTTCTCCAGGCTGGCCAGCATGTCCTTGGCCCTCTTCTCCCGCTGCGCTGCATCGGACTGGAGTTTCTTCAACCTACAAACGCAAGTTAAAAGAGACAGACTTTCGAGGCCATTCCTTCAAACTAATGGGGTTTTCGGGTTTTCGGGTTTCGGAAAGAAATTCTAACAAACGACGGGAATGTATTCCTGACGTTTCGCAAGCACGAGTGGCTTGCATCTTCAGAAGTGGTTTGCTTGAACGCTTACACTGTTCTCATCAGAAACCGCGTTCAGTTCTGCGGAAGAACTGAACGGGGGTTCTGATGAGAACAGTGTAAGCGTTCAAGCAAACCACTTCTGAAGATGCAAGCCACTCGTGCTTGCGAAACGTCGAGAAGAAATTCTACCGAACGACGGCCTAAAAACCCGGAAAACCCCATTAGTTTCAAACGCACGTTAGTTCGCCGATTACGCTTTGGTTTGGTGAAATTACCTGGCGATTTCTTCCTCCAAGTTGTTCACCTCTTGAGCAGATCTGGCCAGCTGCTTCTGCAGGTCGGAGATGATCTCGTTGTCGCTCAACACAGCCAATTCGATGTGGTGGTTTTCTGAAGAATCTTTGGCACAATCTAGCTCGTCGGTTGAGGTGCTGTCCAGGGTGGATTGTCTGGACTGGCAGCGCGGTAATCTCGGCCTTTGTCTTGCTCGGTCCTTCACCCGAAGCCCCAGCCTGTGCAAAAGTCCGTCCAATTAGGCTCTGATGAGGTTCCGACGATGGAAAAACTCACCGGTTAAAGGGAGGTGAAGGTGGGAGCTCGCTCCAATCGCCACTTTCACGCCGGCCGCCCTCCGAAGCTGTCCGATACTCTTCGTCGCTGGAAAACAGCACTGATCGGGGCGTGTTTGGCGTGGCGGGGCTTTCGGTTGGCATCGGCGCTGCTTTCTTCAGCGCCTGCATCCAGTTGGATCTGGAAAGTTCCAAATCAGTTGCCGGTTCAGGGCAAGATTTCGTGGGATCTGACCTGATGCCTTGCGTAACAGCGCTCAGCGTCAACGTAGGCCCACTCCATTGGACTTCGAAGCCGTACTTTGAATCGGTCGGAATTTCCGTGTAGTTCGTAACTGTGGATAATTCGACGCACAGCTCAGGAACGCCATGCTCGTCTTGGTCTTGGTAGACGTTCAGGGTGGGTCCGCACAGTACAATCCAGTGGCGCAGCCACTCGTTGTCCGGAGTTTTCAGCCATAGCCAACCCTAAAATTCGTAAAAGAATGTAACAGTCTAATTTTTGGGGATCAAAAAGATCATTCTGATATTGAACAGTCCGTATTCTTCGGAAGATTCTTCGGTCTTTAATCGCTCATATTTTCCCTACTCTCACTTAAAATGCCTCACGTTTTCGGTCATGATTTTCTTCAGAAAATCGAGGCAACAATAATCAGATGAAACAGGACAAGAGAAGAAATTATTCTTATCCTAGACAAGGGCAGATCCCCCCCATTCAATTCTCTTGCCAACGATGCCAAAACGAATTCCCTGGCTCGACTGGTTCTTCAGAAACTTCGAAAAAAGCAGCGTCATGTTCAAGTGGATTTTGCAACTCAAAAAAAACCACGCAAATCTAAAACTTCTTGAAATCAAGCATTTTTTGAGAAAACTGCCAACATTTCCCCATCCATGGTTCACTTTCTAAAAAGG